GGGAAATAGGACATAAACTGTTAAGTAAAGTATAACTTACCCATTCTCTCTTGAAGTTCCCGGGTGAAACGATGACTTTGAAACAAGATATAAATATAAGTTGACAGTGAAGGTGTTAGAAAGTCTGCTGACTTCGGTTCAGCTTCTAAAATGACGCTACAATTTTAAACTCTCCCGAGTCAGTAGCGGCAGGGATTCCTTAAGCCTAACAAAGCTGTAGTTCGGCCCTGGAAAAGGCTTGCCTACTCATGAAAATCCCTTACTTGTGATTGAATTCATAATATAACTCACTTCTAATTGAGATAGGATTGAAAACAGTTCCTTTACATACATCCTGACCCATACTTATTAAGGAAGGAGAAAAGGTCCATATTTGAAAAAATATCACTTGCATAGAGGTGTACAGTATGTGGACGAAACTACATCAGAGGGGTCTTTTGACTGATTGTGTGACAGCATGAATGATACAGGATGAGATGGTTTCACGGGAACAGGATGCCATGCCAAAAGTGAGCTTGAAATTCTTTGAATTTATCGTTAAGGACTTTTCGTAACCCTAGATGGATACATATAGGCCATCGCTGTGGAGTGTGATTCGTATGCCTGTCTATAGCACACTATAATAATATCGTCCATAAAGACGGAAAGGTTATAAATGCAACCCGTGATTTGAAATGGGACCATTTATATTATGTGAAAATAATAGTTAAAACCATACAGCTTATACCATACACACACACACACACACAGTCATACATTAGGTAAATAAACACTGTGTAGGGTACAGGGCATCCCCCCTCCCCCAAAGGACCCTTAAAGCCTGAAGACGAAAGTATAAAATCGAGTGAGACCTCGACTGAAATACGAGGAATAAATAAAAAAAATGATAATATCAAGCGGTGCAGACTTTAGCTCCTAATGGGTAGATTTCTATCTTATTATTGAACACCATGCACCATGGACGCTGCACTTATTTTTTTTTTTTTTTGAGCTGCATAGATTTCATACTAAAATACAGAAGTTAATGAGGTGCAGTCAAATAATAAGTGAAAAATTGTGTATTGGAGCTGTTTTAAAATAAATTATTTCCAAGAAAATTAGTAAAGTCAGAAAAAGAAATACATATTCTGCGAGCAAGCCAGAAGAAAAAATAAGTGACTACATAGTAACGAAAATCAGTCAGAAGGGAGGAGAGACGAGGTCCGACAGTTTAGCTTGCTGTTGCCCTCCAGGATTGCAGTCTGCATGTTAAATCCCTCAAAGATGTGGATCATAATAACAGATCCCAGTAAGCCAGTTCAATCGTAAAGGTTATACTGGGCTCCCTGGTGGTTACGAAGTAACCTAAGTCCGGACCAGGCGGGGATTAAGAAATCTTAAACAATTTAGCATTGGCATTACTGCTACGTTCCTATACCAGTGAAAATCAAGAGAAATGTCCCTCACTGCCCCCCCCCCCCCGCCCCCCCCCCCCAAAAAAAAAAAACCGCGTGAAAAAGTAATTAATCCCAGCACAATCCAGAAATTTGCGCACGCAGTAAATGTATAAGGTAGAGGCCAGAGGTGAAAAGCCAACTGTCGCCAACAAAAAGGCAATTTGCCGTTGATGGAAGTAGGTGTCACAACAAGTGGGCTATCCACACGTAAAATAATTAAGTAAGGTATTTCGCCAGCCCATACGTAAACTGCCTGCCGACGATACTGAACACCACGACTCAACAGCTGCACAAAAGACAGGCATTCCATATCAAATATACACTCAAAGTGCTGCACCAAGCACTAAATTCAATAGTTCAGGCAGCAAATCCGCAGACTTCCATCCATATGTGGGAACTGCATTAGCAAAGCTCTGTCAGAAGCAAAAATAACATCGAAGATATACGTTCTACCATACCTAGCCCTCCTTATTGGACGGGAAGTCTATTGTTAAAAGATTACATAATGGTTAGGGAAAACATTTGTACAAGAAATGATTGGTAGCATACGAAACAAAATGACGTGGATAGACAGGATTATGAATGACACACCGCTTGGATTATAGGAAGACGTTTTCACAAATCCTACTTATTTACTTTGTCTTCTTCTACCTTGGGATATAGAAATTTGTCATAGACATCCGTTTTTTTGTTAGCTTTGTCCCATTTCAGTCGTCTGTCAATCAGGAACTTTCAGATGTTGTCTTCACAGGAAACCCTGGGTCGCCCTGTTGGTCTGATTCCACGGTTCTTTACATCTCATCCCTGCCATGGCAGTCGATTCTTTCCAATTCTGTATACATATCCAAACCATCGTAACTGTGTAAGGTCCGGATTTCAAGATCTCGACGTATTGTCTGGTTACAAACTTTGTCCAGTCTTGTAACTTCGACCACCTTTCATAAATTATCTCATTTCCTAGGCCTGAAGCTGGCTTCTGTAAGCAGTTTTAACAAATCCTTTGGTTAACAAATTTGACTTGGACCAGCATTTTGGTTGGGGTGGGGGTGGAAAGTGGGGGGGGGGGGGGGGGGGGGTCCATTCCTAAGTCTGTTGCTGTCCCCAGTCGACATTCATAGTTTCGGGCTGCTATTATCTCTTCCACTTACTAATTTTTTATGTTTAAATTTAGTTCTCCGAAACACCCTTTACTAAAGTTTGGCCATGGCTGAACTAATGGTGGAAGACACAGATAAGAGCAACTGGGGAAATGACAAAAGGACACATGTGCATTTCTTACAAGAATGCCCTATACAAGCAAAGCGGAGAAACAAAACTATTTGACCATAGTTTAACGGCCTGCTCTAATATTTAGATATCACAAATCTTAATCTGACTGCTATTACTTTTTTTAAACGTATTAACATCATACAGTATACGAAAATGAAGGAAGTGGAAAAGAAGAAGAAGAAGAAGAAAAAGAAGAAGAAGAAGAAGAAGAAGAAGAAGAAGAAGAAGAAGAAGAAGAAGAAGAAGAAGAAGAAGAAGAAGAAGAAGAAGAAGAAGAAGAAGAAGAAGAAGAAGAAGAAAAAGAAGAGGATGAAAAAGAAGAAGAAGAAGAGGGAGTGGGGAAGAAGAAAAGGAGGAGGATGAGAAAAGAGGAGGGGGGGGGGAGGAGGAACAAGAGGAGAAAATGAAACAGAAGAATATTCACTTTTCTAACAATAGCTACAATACGACTGTAAAGTAACAGTTTTTATTTTACTACTAAATGTGTTTGTTTAAAAAGTATTATTGTGGCATTTTAATTTTAAAAAAATGGTGCGGCTCTTCTTTACGTCCTCTTTTACTGCCTGGGGTTTGGAGAGAGATATAAGGTCCTGCTTCGTGCTCTTCTGGCTGACCACTGACGCATCGCAGTGCTGTAGAGTTTCTCTGATGTTATCTTGTTCTTAGTCTACCTCTTGCTCTACGCCCTCTCCTTTTTTGGTATATGCATTGTATGGTATAGCATCAGAAGGCATTCTCTCCAAGTGGGCAAACCATTTGATTTGCTGTCTTTGTATGTAATTTAGAATTGGTTCTTGAATAACCTCAGTCCTGATTTTATCTCATCTGCTCACTCCTACAGCCTTTCTCAGACACCTCATTATTATGGTTACTAATATTTTTTTATGTTTTGTTGTGAGTGACCACGTCTGGCACTTGTAGCAGAGGATGGGAATGCTTTGTATGAGGTGTTTCTTTGTGTTGATTGGCATTGCCTTATGCTGTTTAGTTGTTCCAGGATATGTAAACTCAGATGCCTGTTTAAAATGTGTATGCTCTAATACTATGTTTAAATCCTGCATTTTTTTTCCGATTGACATGTCTTCTGTCTTTTTTATATTGATTCTCATATTATTTGATTTACATTCTTCATTCATGTATGCGAGATGCTGTTGCAAATTCATGGCTGTATCTGCAATGAAAGCCTGGTCAGCAGCAATTAGTATTTCGTTGATGATTATATTTTTTTCGCTCCTGGGCCTGGTATCATTGCTTATACTGTCAGTGTTGGTGATAAATAGGAGTGGTGATAAGACACTTTCGTGTCTTACTCCAGATGTTACTTTGAATGGTTTAGATGTCGCCTGATTTATTCTAACTACGCTTCTACAATCGCTATTGAAGCTTTTGCAAACTTCAGTTAGGTGTTCACTTACTCCATTTAGAGCCATTACTTTTCATAATTTTTGTCTTTCAACCCTGTCGAAAGCTTTCTCCTGGTCTACAAATGCTACAAATAAGTTCTAGTCATTTTCGAAGTTTTTTTTCTATTAACTGTTTAAGTGTGAAGATTGTATCTGTTCAGCTTCTGTTTCTTCTGAAACCCACCTATTCTTGTGTTAACTGTGGATCTATCACTGGTCGCAACCTTGTTTCTATCATCTTAGCATACATTTTCCCAGCATGGCCTAAAAAAGAGATGCCTCGATATTGATTGCATTCTCGCTTGCTTTTCCTTGTTCTCCCACATCGGTACACCTATTGCATGCTGCCAGTCAATTGAGCAGTTTGTTGTACCCATGCCGCATTGAATATACTATGGGGCCATTTAATGTTGCTTTCACCTGCTGCTTGAAATATATGTTAGTACTCTATCAGTTCCTGGAGCTTTATATTTGGGTGACTGCTTAATAACTTTAACTACTTTAGTAATTAGTATATCAGGTTCTAGCACTGTTGCTTTGTAGTCTTTGGTTGTTCTTTCCTGGCAATCTCCTAAGGCGTTAAAGAGCTCACTGAAGTATTCTCTCCATCTTTCAGCTACCGCTGGCGGGTATATTAAAGGTTTTCCTGTTGTATTGTTAATTACTATTTATGGTGCCTTACTCACCATAAAGTATTTAGAAAGGTGCTCGTTCTTATCATAAAGTGTTCTGCTAGAAAAGCGTTGAAAAAAATTTTGCTAAGAAAAAAAAAAAAACGCTGGTACTGCATGCCGTTGAGTGCTGACAGGAAAAAAAGTAATATTATTATATTTAATATTTTATTATTATATTTATTATATAATTATAATTATTGTTGTTGTTGTTGTTTCAGGCACTTCATAACGCCCCATTTCTGCAGTTAAGTTCCAGTACCGAAAGAGCTTTGATGCTGGCTCGCCAAGAGTCATTTGGTCCATCTGGAGGGACGCGACCTGGCATACAGCAGATGGTTGTTATGGTTACTGAAGGGCGTACTGCAGACGAAAGCAAGGCAACTGAAGAAGCAAATCTGTTAAAGAGTTTGGGAGCTGAGATCGTAGTTGTAGGAGTTGCTCGTGTCAATCGGAGCGCGTTGACAGATATTGCATCGGATCCAACAGATGTTTTTATATCAGATACTTACGAGGAACTTCAAGAGCTCCCCAAAGAAATTGCACTGAAGACTGCTGAGAAAGGTTGTATTCACACATACTGAGTGTTTTCTTATTTATGTTTCCTTCATCCATCTCATAGTAAAGTTTTCAACTCCTCTGCTTTCTGCATGGCTACACACACCACCGGAATTTCCTGGTTGTTCGTCCAGGTCTGGAACGTTGATCTTGTTCTAGAACTTAGGTGTTGCGTGCTCATCCATTTTATATATCTGAATTATTTGTTTGCAAAATGAGGAACAGTAAAATATAACCCCCCCCCCCTTTTTTTTTGGGATGCTTATACAAAGGACCTTTCTTTAGATAATTATCATTCTTTCTCCAAAATGTTTTCTGTACAGTATCACAGAGGCATTTTTCTTTCTTATTTTCCCAATCACTAGAATTTGTTTAATTCTTCTCAAAAGCTCCACTCTAGTGATTTTGTCAAACCATTTAATTCCGCACCTCCTCTCCACGCGTTCTTTACATTGCTATTTAAATCTGTGTACAACGCCACTTTTTGACATGTTTTAATAAGGGAAAATTGGTTATAATTTACATGTGTGATTTTCATTAGCTTTGTCTTTCTCTTGTATACATTTAAATATTTCATAGTATTGCCTGAAAGGATTTAGAATGATCAAACATCAAATCGAAGCTCGTAAGAGTTTATGTGCATCAGGTAACAGTTGCAAAGGAACGAACCTGGTTAATCAAACCCGTAGGAAGTGAATTCAGAAGTACAAGTATGTGTGCTATCTCCACTTTGTAAAAAAAAAAAAAAAAAAAAATTACATTAATAATAAATTCAGAGATGCTGAATCAAAGCAGAAGAGGGTGAAATTTTAGATGTTTTTTTCTAGCACAATCAAGTAATAAAGATTATAACAGAATAAATGCTTAACAACCTCAGTCAAGATTTAGAAATATGGAAATAATTATTGAAAAGAGTAGACAATAAGAAACCTTATCAATAAAAACAAATAACACAGTTATAAAGCCACAAGAGCATTTAAATATCGAGCATCAATTTTCTCCTCATTAGGAACAATAGGTAGAGAAATTAGAATGCTATATGCACAGGCAATTAACACAGCCTCTGACAACTGAAAGCTACATATGCCTACCAAAAAAAAAAAAAAATACTTTACGGCCATTTTTGGGGCTCCCATTATTAAACATGGACTCTGACAACAAATAATGATAGCAGAAAGATAACAACAGAGATACAATGTCGCAGGAGAGATCAGAGAGAGAAAAAAAAAAGAGATTAGGACTACAGCCTGTCACAAACTACGTGAAAAAGCAGTAGAAGAGATAGTCTGGCCATATGACAAGAATGACCAGGTACAGAATGCCACAGAGAGCCACGCAGAAGAAATATAATCAACACAGAGCAACAACAATCAGAAAAAAAAACTGAATAGGTGGGAGAGGGGTGGGGTGGGGTGGGGTGGGGGGGGGGTGGAGGAAGGTGGTGGTGGGTAGAAAAAAATGTGGATGGGGGGGGGGAACTGGAGGATAAAGGGAAAAAAGCATCATAAGTGGAACATCTTAAAACATTTAATATAATAATGAATAAACGATAGTAAGGAACAAACCTACATTTTATTTAGAGCATCCCTTTGTCGGCTTTTGCTTTGGGTGTTACGAGAGGAGGTCAATAAGTAAGTCACACACAGTTCTTTATTTAAAAAAAAAAAAAATTAAGACAACAACAATTTAAAAAAAAAAAGTTGGTTTTTACACATACACTGTCCCTTTATCTTTCATCCTAATTTCCACCAACATTGATGCACTGGTTCCACCGTTTTATCAGTTCTTCTAAACCTGCTGCATACAACTGTGTACTCTGATTTCTAAACCACACTTTCAATTGTCTGGGTACCAACCTTGAGCATATTTTCTTAAATTTCGATCAACCATGCATTATTTTGTATGCTGAACAATGTGAGCACCATATCGCAGCTGCTACAGAGTTAACCGTTACTCGCCTGCCACCTCTAAATCAGCTCCTCCACCCACTGCAGGGATGCGTCTGTTGCAATCACAACAGGACGGCCAGATCGGATTCTTAAAAAATATTTGAGCGCCTTTGAGAAATGCTTTTTTACCCAGCTATGCACCGCGCTAGGGAATAAACGTTTGCCAGTAGGAAAAGGAAGAATTCCTCAAGAATGTCAATTGCAGGCAGCCCTATAGCCCAAAACAAACGCACAATAGCACGTTGTTTTTTGAGGGTACACTCCTAAGTAAAGTCGCTAATTTTGTTTGTGCTGCGATGGCGCGTGTAACACCTAGCGCCACCTAACGAAAGGAGACATAACATTCAATGTTGCTGTCACCCAATGACACCTTTAGAGATCACCAGTTACATTTTCCTGCAAGCCCATATAACCATTTGTGACTTACTTATTGATTCCCCTGTTTTTACATGAAATCGAAACACTAATGAAAGCCTCTACACTAATGAAAGCCTCTACACTAATGAAAGCCTCTACTCTAATGAAAGCCTCTACACTAATGAAAGCCTCTACACTAATGAAAGCCTCTACACTAATGAAAGCCTTTACACTAATGAAAGCCTCTACAGTCTAACGTATTATCAACGAATGTTTCATTGTTTATTTTAGCTCCTCAGTTCAAGACAACAGCAGACATACTGTTTATTCTGGACTCGTCTGGCAGTATCAGCCCTGAAGACTATCAGAAGCAACTTGACTTTGTGGTGCATGTGACTGCCAATTTCAACATTGGACCAAATGACGTTCTCTTCAGTGTGATGGTGTTTGCCTGTTCTCCTGTGATGTTGTTCAACTTTTCTGTGACTAGTCATGATGAAGTGAAGCGGGTAAGATTGGGGTCAGAAACTTCGTTCTGTGATTGCATAATAAGATTGTGTAAGGTATGCATGGATGTATAAAATACAACTGTCAAAAGCCCTATTAGTGTTGTAGTAGTATTTTTTTTCTTTGAACCAGCATTTGAATAAAACAGGGAATATGATTGATTAAATAATTAAAAGTAATGATTAATCAACAGGATAATTATATACACCTAATGGGAAAATATGGTGGCATGTGAGATAAAGCTTATGAGAAAATGCAAAGAATACTAGAAGTGGGGAGTAAAAGGAACGAGGAAGTTTGGTAAGAATCAGATGATATATGTAGAATAATTAGGTAATTTTACCTGATGAGATAATTATGCATTCACAACACTATTGGTATCACAGCTAAAACTTAAAATATTGTTCTTTAAGAATTGTATATGTGCGTGTGAAAACAATTTATGCAGTGTATTCCTTCCACCGCTGAGAAATGACTATTTTACATTTAGTTAATTGTTATAATGCACAGTTCTTATTTCCAAAAATATTTTCCTTACTGTTATACAAATATCCATACGATTGTCTCGTCATATGCAGTAAGAATGGCTGTGATATAAGCGATTAGGTTGAAAATACATAACTGCAATATACTCTTGCGTTAACAGGTAATGTTATTTGTTGTAGTGCTTATCCACACTGTCCCCACGCATTGACAGGTACGTGTTGCTAGTGCCCATCTGCACTGTTCCCTAAGAATTGACAGGTACGTGATGTTATAAGTTGCTAGTGCTCATCTGCACTGTTCCCCAAGAATTGACAGGTACGTGTTGCTAGTGCCCATCTGCACTGTTCCCCAAGAATTGACAGGTACGTGATGTTATAAGTTGCTAGTGCTCATCTGCACTGTTCCCCAAGAATTGACAGGTACGTGTTGCTAGTGCCCATCTGCACTGTTCCCCAAGAATTGACAGGTACGTGATGTTATAAGTTGCTAGTGCTCATCTGCACTGTTCCCCAAGAATTGACAGGTACGTGTTGCTAGTGCCCATCTGCACTGTTCCCCAAGAATTGACAGGTACGTGATGTTATAAGTTGCTAGTGCTCATCTGCACTGTTCCCCAAGAATTGACAGGTACGTGTTGCTAGTGCCCATCTGCACTGTTCCCCAAGAATTGACAGGTACGTGATGTTATAAGTTGCTAGTGCTCATCTGCACTGTTCCCCAAGAATTGACAGGTACGTGTTGCTAGTGCCCATCTGCACTGTTCCCCAAGAATTGACAGGTACGTGATGTTATAAGTTGCTAGTGCTCATCTGCACTGTTCCCCAAGAATTGACAGGTACGTGTTGCTAGTGCCCATCTGCACTGTTCCCCAAGAATTGACAGGTACGTGATGTTATAAGTTGCTAGTGCTCATCTGCCATATCCCCAGCTTGGACAGTCAAGTGTTGTTAAACGTAGCTAGTGCTCATCCACACTGTTTCAAGGAATTGACAGGTACGTGATGTTATATGTTGTTAGTGCTCATCTGCACCGTCCCCAAGCATTGACAGGTACGTGATGTTATATGTTGTTAGTGCTCATCTGCACCGTCCCCAAGCATTGACAGGTACGTGATGTTATATGTTGCTTCTTAGTCAGTGTCGTTATCGCATAGTGGATTGGTAGAGTAATTAGTATCCATCTCTTAAAACACCCCGAATAGTGACCCTGACTAGTAAATAAAATACATCAAGTCGATTAATTGTAGAAATCATTTTTAGTTCAAATATCGATTATTTATGTACATATGACAATAGTGTTGAACCTTCACTTTCAAAAATGTCTCTACCAAAGTTGACACAACTACATCTGTAATTTTCATCAGCTAGTTATAAGACAGATTCATTTATGAAGTCCACTTTATAATAACTTTCCTTAGAGTTCTTGTAATCTAGTTTGAGTTTGTAGTTCTAGTTCTTTCTTCTAACAACGTTTATTTGCTGTCTTTCTCCTAGAATAAAAGTTGCAAAGCTTATTGATTGCTTCAGTTTGCACCCACTTCTTTTGAGCATTCTCTTTCGTCAGTCTTCTTTCTTGAAAACTGTATCCTTCATGAAATCAACTGTCTCCCTAATTGGCTTCACCTGTGTTTAGAATTGCCTTCTTCTTCATGCAAGAGCACGTTTACTGTCAGTGATTGCCTGTCCTTCCAGTTAATTTACAGTCGAAGAACCCCGAGTTTTTAATGTTTTATCAGGTGCTGTTTTATTTCACTATGTTAATTTCTTCAGCACAGATGTTTCGGGTCTGTGTCCTTAGATTTTAGTCAGTCAACCTAATTATGCATCCACCTTACAGCACGTATGGGCTATATTTTATCCTATGAACCTTATTTTCATCTACGAAGTAACGACTTCAAGGTGGTAGTTCTAGATTCTATAGATTCGTCTATGTTACAAACATCACGCCGATCGCCTTTACTTATTAGTATTTCGCTTGGTGCCCACTCAAGGCTGGGTCGAACTGAGAACTAAAACATGCCCTGTAGACAGTAATTTTCTGTATAGTCTGCATCTAGTTTTTGACCTCCTTATCATCAGTTCTCGTTATGCCTTGTGGCACACGAGGCTTCAGAGAGGACTTTGCATGCTTTCCTGTCCTGTGCAATCTTCAGTGCAGTTTTCCATGTCAAAGATGCCGCACTCATGTCACTTTCCATCTTTCGTCTCCATGTTTGTTTTTTTGGGCGCCCCTGTTTTCTCTCTCCATCTGATGTCCATGTGAGAGCTGTTTTGGCAGGTATATCAGAAGTCATTCTCATAACGTGGCCAAGCCATTTCTATCTTCTCTTGGTAATCATACTGTCTAAAGTTTCTTGGTATGTGGCTTGAAGTAGTTTAGTATTTGAGATTGTATCTGGCCAGAAAATGTTGATAATTCTACGTAGACATGTGTGGTGGAAGGTGGACATCTTGTGTGCATCCTTTCTGGTCATTCTCCAGCATTGCGAAGAAGAATTGGCAAAATGACTTCTTCGTCTTCTCGTTCCACGGTGATTTAAGAATTTTTCTGTAGCATTTTACTTCAAACAGCCGAGTAAAAGTCTGTGACTCACATTCATAAGTTGCCACAGTAAAGGTGCATGATCTCAAAATGTTTAACATTCTTGCAGGTGCTTTGCGATAGATTTTTTCATCATCATCATTTCACGTTATGCCTAGTGGCACATGAGGCTTCAGAGAAGATTTTCCATGCTTTCCTGTCCTGTGCAATCTTCAGTGCAGTTTTCCCTGCCAAAGATGCCGCACTCAGGTCACTTTCCATCGTTCGTCTCCATGTTGCTTTTGGGCGCCCCTGTTTTCTCTTTCCCTCTGGTGTCCATGTGAGAGCTGTTTTGGCAGGTACATCAGATTTCATTTTCATGACGTAGCCAAGCCATTTCCATCTACTCTTGGTAATCATACTGTCTAAAGTTTCTTGGGTTTTGGCTTGAAGTAGTTTAGTGTTTGAGATTGTATCCGGCCAGAACATTTTGATAATTCTACGTAGACATGTATGGTGGAAGGTGGACAGCTTGTGTGCATCCTTTTTGGTCATTCTCCAACATTCAGCTCCATAAAGAAGAACTGGCAAAATGATGCTCTTGTTGAGTCGGAGTTTCTTCCTCTGCAGTAATTGTTGGATTTCCAGATTTGCCTCATCCTTCCAAAAGCAGCTCTAGCTTTGTAGATTTGTTCACCTCCTTATGCCAACGTGAAACAAGAGCATGCACGCCTTTCGGTACTAGGTTGTATCCTATTCACTTAGCCATTTCTTCACATCAAGAATATTGCCCTCACTGGCGAAGGGAGAGCGAAGAACTAACTGATTTACCTCTTGGTATCAATCGACAAGAATCACACAATCAATGCCCTGAAGACAGTGATCATGACATTTCATGCTCGCAAAGTTGTCTTGAGTTTCTTTCCTTGTGTGACTGTGGATGCTGCCACTCCACTGACTGCATTTTTGTCCCGCGGGCATAACCGTGAGCCCAGGCTTCTTCACCCGTAACGATCTTGAACAAATAGTTCTCTCAATTCAGAATATACTGCGTGCTTTGGAATTTTAGATCATTAGGGAAATTTAGAGGAATCCATTTTGCGCAACTGTATATAAACTGGAATTAAATCTAGAAAAAAAAAAAGTTTTTTAATTTTAATTGAAACCTGTGAGGCTCCCCTTACTGTATTTTCGTCTCGGTCATAATAAGCCTGGGTTTCTTTACCTGTACCGATCTTGGACAAACAGATCTCTCCTTCAGCGTCAAAACCATGAAGCAGGTCAGAACATATTGTTTCCTTTTGAAATCATTTGTGAGATTTAGAGGAATCCATCTAGTGCAAATCTTTATAAATTTAAGACTTTTGTCAGGTATTTCCTTCTAACTAAACACTGCAAGGCTAATTTTTGACTGAAATACTCATATACTCGCGAATACTGACATCAACAACTTTCACCACTTTTAGACTGGTAGCGTGAAAGGACGTATCGACGACTCTCATCATCAGTCAGCAAGTCCTTTACAGAACGTCGCTCTCTTCACGACACACCTAATAGTATCTCTTTCCCTAGCCAGCTCTCCAGCCCTATGTGCTTTCGATGCATCTTCAGTGTCTTGTATCCATCTTTGCGGTGGTCGACCCTGGGTCTCCTTCCACAAACTGCACCTTTTATCACCGTCTTTTCCAAGCAGCCATGATTCTAGAGTTCAGTAAATCAAGATGTCTCTCACTATCTCAGGTTTTTAATTCTCTGAAAACAAACATTCATGAATGTTCACAAAAGCTTCACCGTTTCTTCTCCCACTCCAAGACACAACCAATAATTATAAGACAATTCCTTGTTTGTAACACACATTGTGTTTTCATGCCGCTGTGGTAGATTAGTGCAGGTGGTCTGTCTGACGTAATGTTGTGCCATGTCGTACATACAATACAGGAATGTCAAATTTGAAGTGTGCAACATTCCATGTTCTATTTTGTGAAAATTCCTAATT